CAACGTGTTTCGACATCATTTATGCTTTTAAATTTAATTTAAAATTAATTATAAATAATTAATAAAGTTTATAAGTGTTACCTTTAAAACTAAAGAGGAAAACACATTAAAAAAACCTCCCCCCTTGTTTTTTTTTTGCGCTTGACCTATATTATGGTCTATGCTTTTTCAAATCTTCCATATAAAAAAAAATACATGGTAAAGTAATTAGAGATGGTGTTTCGTAACATTGTTCATTGTTTGTAATTAAAAATATCGAATGACCATGAACAAGACTTGCTTTTTTTTTTATTACTCTGCACAAAAATGTTTGTTCATTTATTACTTTCGGTGTAATAGCCCAAACTATTTTACTGATTACGTCTAGAAAACGCTATTAAATCTAGTAATACTTTCATTATAACATTCCTAACCTCAATTTAAAAATTATACGTCTTCTAGTAACAAGACAATGATGGGTCGTAATGGCGACGTGATAACTTTGACCATTTTGTCCATTGGTCAATAGACAATCATAAGCGAGTAGTCAGTGTGACGAAAGTTTTGAAAAAGTTCCCTGACGACATTACACGATCGTATATTCTATTCAGAGACGATAAACGGGAAATATACGATTCCTTTCATTATTACTCAATGGATATTTAACGAGCAAATTTTAATAGTTCTATGTCTCGTATGATAAAATATTTCTACTGCGTTACAATTACGTATATATATAAAAGTATGTGGAATTTAAATCTATATAAAATGAGTAAGTTATTTTCTATTGTAAAACTACTATGGTTACATTTAATATCTCATCATAATTTGCTAAAGGGTATTTATCTACATGGTTAAAACAATTTAAAATTATTAAAGATTTTAATAAACTTAATAAAAATTATTAGTTAATATCTATAATCTATCGTAATTTATACGTAAATGTTTAATAGTTTTATATAATTATTTGCTGGATTTATGTAGAATTTAGTCTATTAATGACAATTTATTAAGCCAGTGTTTCTAAATGTACCCCAAGGGTAAGTGACAATTTTCGATTATGTACAGTACAGTACTACTAACGTATAGAATTATTAAGGAAAGAATTATTTTAAAAAATAAATACTTTTCCTAATATATTTTGTATGAATTATACTATTTTCTACTTCTTTTACTTCTTTCTTTTAAAAAAACTAATTGATTTGTCGATGTAACTTGGAAGCCAATGTAAAAAAATATCTGCCAATACAAGAAACACGAGTTTCAATAATAATAATAAAGCATTAGATGATTGATTTAATGGAAATCTTATTGTTAAATTGTTAATTAATAGCTATAGGGTTTCATAATTTACATTATCATCAGAAATATTGTCCCAATAACTTCACAGATGAATTAATTTATGAAATTATAACAGACAAAAGTCTAGAATTCATAATCTATAGAGTATAAATTAGAGAAATTCTTTAATGAAAAGATATTTAAGACATAGTTTGGCCATAAAAGTGCAAAGCCAAAAGATGATCTCTTGATATAATGCCAATGGATCTTTTTTCTTTTTGCCACTCCATTTAAAAATAATGTTTCTATTTCATCCCTGCCATGAAATTTCGATGATTAAGATGGCGAGTTCATTGTCTTCATTTATTATCGCTGAAAATATTTCCTAAGAGTTAATGCTAAAAAGAATTAAAGTAGAAGACGAGAACGATGTCAATAAAGAACATCCATAAAATAAAAGTTTATCCAATTTTTCGATAGGTGTTAATATTATATTGTATAAACATTTAAAAATTTGTTGCTTACACGCTCATTTATTACCATACATTATTACTGTATTATCTTTTATTATATAAATGAAATGAAAGAGTTTCCTGATTTTCTCTTCGTGGTTAAATGGATGCGATTTCTACAAATTACATACGATAATATTTTATAGCTAATACAAATTTAATATATGCATTATAGACTTACCATAAATGAGAAAATAATGGTGATCATTTTGTCTCGTCCAATATTTCTCGTTTAGAATTCTTCTCAATGTAATATATTATTTAATTGTTACGTCTTTGTATTCATTCGTGGCATGAAATTTTGCCTTAGGAAAAGCCGTCATTAGCCGTGAGAAACGTTCAGGAAAGGTCTTTATGGAATTGTCTAGACCTTAATAAAGGATAGGATTGAAGGTTAGATGGAAAGCTTCGCTTATTCTTGTGAACGTTGGCATGCCTTCCAGTGTCTAACAAATTAGAGAAAAGGATGGTATGTTGGAGAAGTAATTAGTTTGCGTTAATGGCAATCCTAATTATTTTCCTATATGGCCTAATTAGATGAATCGCTGAAAAATCACTTACAAATTACAAAGATCTCACTTCTTGTCTACTGTACTAAGTTAGATGTGTCGTTAGTCACATTCATTCGTATCTCTTAGTAATCTTAGTGGAAGTTTCGGTTCTTCCTAATGGCATTCTTAAGGGAAACTGTAACACATTAGAAATAGCAGACAGGAAATGTGGCATTCACTAAAATACTCTCCCTGATCGATATAACAAGAATGACTTTCAAAATTACTCTCATTAATATTAAATTGATTATATTATTAATAAATTATTCGTACGAAAATAAAATAACCCAACGAACATTAAAATATTTTAAAATAAAGCGAAATATTTAAATAATACGTTGAAAAACTTTTTGTTCTTTAACCATCATCGATTCCTCAACTCCTCTCTCTCTCTCTCTCTCTCTAGTTTCGATAAAAGAAATATAAATAAAACTTACTACTCGCCGATTTTAATCAATAAAAGCAAGTTATCGACTTGGAAAGAGATTAAAGTAATTCACCAAGTAGTTATATCAGAGTGGGATCTTTAGTTTTCAATCGTATTGCAAATCTGTGCAAGAGCAACATAAGGCATATCTGTAATACAGCTTACCAAAATAGGTATATATGATTTTTTAAAGAAAGATTACTCATCGATCATCATTAAAAGACCATTAGTAGGTTATTAACGGATCATTTTCCAATTTTTTTTTCATCCATAATTAGTAAGTGTACAAAAATCTATGAGGGTTCTAAACCGAAATCAACAACTGGCACGACCATTCTTTATCAACTTTCTATCAACAGCCATAAGTTATATTCACTACACGAAATACAAACAGATCGTCTATATATTAAAGATAATAACAATAGAATAATACAGAAACACTCGTATAAAATATATGCTATTATATATGCAAAAATCCGTAAAATGTTAAGGTAAAGGCTTATATATACTGTACGTAAACAAATATTTATATGCAGAAATGTTGGCAATTTCTACGAGTTTGTTTATTGGCGTGACTCCAAATCAGATTTCCAAAGACCAAATCACGATGCACCTGTTCATGGGTGGATATTGCTTAATTGCATTCATGACTTCCTACTGTATTACATAGGAAAATATTTCCCCTTAACCTTGGTTATTATAGATACTGATTATTGATAATAGACAAGGATTTTTATTTCGTTACTCCTTTCTCCTTTTAAAAATAATTTCAGATAATAAAAAAAACATTTAAATTGTAAAATATCGAGGGGGTGAACAAACTAATTATTTTTTAATATTTTGCTATTATTATTATTTTTTTTTTAACAAAAATTTAAAAAATAAAAGAAGACAAGTTTAATAACTTGCATGTAATTACCTTCATCTTATGACGTAACTTTTTAAAACCTTTCTTTCTTTTCGTAATCTCTACTTATATTTTTTTAAATATCTTTGAAGTCTCACTATAGAAATTCCCATTACAGGTTAAAAAAAATTTACTTTATTTTTAGCATAAATTAGGATAGATAAATTACACCCCAATTTATTTTTTTTATCTTACGAAAAAGTGAAAGAACCTTGCCAAAAAAACAAGGAACAGTTCCGTTATTTTTTCCTCTTTTTTTAGCATCAAACAATTGAAGAATTACCTTTTTTGGAAGTATTTTTCGTGTTAAATTTTAAAATATTTTTTAATAAAATCGGACATTTTGCATGAATACAGTATACAAGCATTCGATTAACAAGTCACAAGGAGCAGTAAGTTTACTTTCGAAAGTTATAAAATTCTAATATATTTGTTATATAGAAGAGATAAATTTTTATGTAGTATATAGGAAGTTTACGATTAGAAGAGGAGAAAAATTTATTTAATATTTTATATACTGAAAGGGTGATGTAGAAGTCGTACGTACTGTATGTACTGTACGTCCTCCACGATCGTGCCCAAACTGTTAGCCTAGAGAAGGATGCTAGAAGAGATGTGGGTGTCAGAAACAATGCAAAATTTCCATAAGTTTAATGGAATATATAAATCGTGCATTTCGTTCAATACGTTAACTTTTCCAAGCTTCTAACGGGTCACGAAGGAAAATTCCGTGACCTCTTCCAAGTCAAAGATCACGGAATGACCATCTCGTGACAATCATCAACAAATGAGGCAAACACGACACAAGTTTGTAATCCCTTCTCAAAACTTTACACCTTATCTATTAAATTAGATTTAATTGCTTAATAAATTTCAATTTTATAGAAATTTAAATTGTTTTTTTTTTAAGTCGTATTTTACAATTAACTAGCAATGTAAGTACTGTATTAGAAACTATGTTACACCCACGAAAAAATGTATACAGTATTTTTCCCTCACTTCGTAACGTGACATTTGACCTATTTAAAATAAGTCGTAAATTTACGTGACTGTCGTATTTAAATTAATTAATTTAATTAATTAATTAGGATTAATTTGCAAGTATTTGACTCGGATTAAATTAACCACGTAAATGCTAACGTATTAATCTCAGGACATTAATCACTTAGATTTATGTTTTGTCAATATTTTCGTATAAATCAATAACTTTTTTTTATGTATTATACAATTTAATTTGGTCGAAAGGATAGATAATTCACAGAGAAATTCAAATTTTCTATCCTATAACCTTAATAATTCATAAAATCTATATACAAATATCTTAATAAATAATTTATTTACAGGTGAAATATAAAGTCCTGATGAAGAATTGAAAGATGAAGCAGGGATTGAAAAGTAAGTTTTATTATTATTTAAATAATTAATACAAGATTTTAATCTTTTGTTAACTTTATCATGAAATTTTGATATTCTCTATTATACACATCCCTATATTAATTTATGCTCTAGTATAAACCTGGGTTATATAGACACTATATATATATTATTAAACCACAGGAAACTATGAAATTCGATTGAATATATGGAATACGAAACAGAATTATATCAAAGTGTGAAACTACAATATCTAAAATTAGATCCACTGATGAGTCTAGTAGTGTTCATATTTTCCTATTAAGTGCGGTCGTTTTGCATACAAGTCGACCCCCCTATAACACTGTTGATTATTCCGTTTTATATGAATTTCATGTTGTACGAGTCACTTAGATCTTACAAATACGTGTACCGGGCTGTAAACGGCTCACATATTTATAAAATCTAAGTGACTCGTACAACATGGAATTCATATAAAACGGAATAATCAACAGTGTTATAGGGGGGGTCGACTTTGTATTGTATTAATTAAAGTGCCATATCTCGGTATAAATAAACCATTTTTTTTTACAGTTAATATGTAAGAAAAGGATTCTTTTCTGCTTAAAATATTATTTTATGATAAATTCTATAGTTTTTAAATGGAAAATTAACAGTCTTTCGAGGAAATAAAAAATGTCAACTATTAAAAGTTTGCATGAAATTTCCATACGTTGGAAGGAAGAAAAAAAAAATGTAAACAGATCTTTATTATTTAAACATGTAAAGTACATTAGTCTTTACATAATAATAATTTGTTTTAATGTTTTTATAAAGCGAACATCTTCAGCGAATGTTAGATCGTGACTACTTTATGGAATAACACGTTAAGTGCCTACAGGTGTAGGAAATTAGAATAGGAGATTCTCCTGTTATTGTCAGTAGAACAAGAGTTAAAAAACCAAAAAAGGCAATCGATACAATTGGAACGTAATCATACGATTTGTAAAGTTAACACGTTCGAAATATTTGTAAATTAAACGCATTTATTTCTCTTAAAAATCTTAATTTTCACTTAATCTTATTTTCTATTCCTTTAGTCGGCACATTTAGATAATTTTAGATCACGTTTAGTGGCACTTTATTGGTCGTGTCAGCCACCACCGCACCTTACAAAGTAAACCACTACTTAGCAACTTTATCAAATTTTCTCCAGTCACATAAGTTACAGTTATTGCATGAAACGAGGAAGGTAGCACGTCTCTGTAATATATTTTCTTCTTTTTTCTCTTTCTGTTTAAGCAATGAAGCGGTAAATTGTTATTCCTCTCTCACTTTCACGAAATATTGTTGGTAGGAGAGAGAGAAAACATCCACAGGCTAAAAATTGTTTTACTTGTACTTTATAGTTAAACTACGGAATTCTTCCTCCTTTTTAAATTTTCCCGCATAAAAATGCTATGTTTAAGTATAAAGTTTCTAAAAATTAAAACATAAATAATGGTTACATCTTCTCTCCTGCATCTTCCCTCTTTTTAGCCTTAAGCTTTCCTGTTGATAAGAGCATTCCTTAAATAACTTTTTATCCTCTGGCGATTCGTATTATAAAAATAGCATTTTATACGAAAATACTTAAGGTTTTTTTTTACCGTATCTACAGGCTTGATCATATGAAAAAATTGAATATAAGCTGGTAGATTTACTAAAGATGTTACAAAATTGATTTATAACCCAACATAACTGTAAAAAAATTCAAAGTTTATGGTTAAATTAAAGACGTTCTACCACATGCGAACGGAATATTAAATTTGGAATGTTTACGAACTTATATAAAACTGATTTATTATCAAACTATACATTTTTAAATATAAATCGCAACCATATTTTAAGTGACCAAAAGAAAGGAAAAGAAAAAAAAAATCATGAATTCCAGTCGTGACTCTTACAGGCTAAACATGTCTCCCTTTAAGTTCTGAGTCAATGTCACTGAACTTTAAATTATTATCCTCCATTACGTAAACTACATATTAAATCTGAGTTACGGCAAAGTATCGCTCAACAGACTCTAGGACACACCTACATAAATTTCATTCCATTCTCCATCACCCGAGAGAATGAGAAAGAGAAGAGGCTCGTTGAGAGAAAAAAAAATTTCTTCCTCTTGATCCTTTCAACTTGCTCCATTTATAAGATAGCCTTTTCCTTTATTTTTAAAACACTCTATAAAATGTGCTTCCACCTTACTAAAAGATCTTTTAATACTTGACGAAGCTCTCTCTCCTCTTAACACTATTAACTCCTTTTTTTAGTGATTAATTTTATACGTTAGACTAATAATTTATAACTACTAACCGTAGGCTAAGCGTGTTTATTACTCATTGAAATCTGAATTTCACCCTTCATTCATACGAGAGAATGTAAACTCTACACCTTCTATTTGGTATTATTAATAAACTCATCTACATACATTGGCAGACGGTTATAAATAAACCGCCTATCCTATTCATATTCACGAAATTTGGCATCCTACTATGAGGCCACATAACTTAAAAGAGAAAATATATATATATATACACCCGCAGAGAGGGGGAAATGCCTGTGATATACTTAGTGGTATATAAAATAAACTATCCCCCTTTCAAACTTGCATTCAAACTATACTATGTTAGACTTTTATCGGATTTTTTGCCACTAAACATACTTGGAAAGTAAATAAAAGCATATTTTTTACGACAGAGACGTCACCATTTCTTGTTTGATAGAGTGAAATGGGTTGTTCGATTTGTATTGTAACGTCGGTAAGGGATGTAATGTTGTTTCCATAGCAACCACTCCACCCACATCGTGATTAACCACACCTATCTTGTCAATCACACTAGATCAATGCATACTTTTGTTCTATCATATAAAATGGCCAGACAATTAGCATAATCTCTTGTAAATACGGCACGCAATACGAAAACTTATCGTAGTTTATTTCAATATAAAATCTAATACGAAAATATTACCATAATCGATTTTTAGAGTCTAGGGCTTTAAATATAATCATTCCCCCTTCAGTAATTACAAAAGCAGATTTAAAAATTAGGTGTTTTTAAAAGTGTTAAGTGGAACTCGTCGTGGGAACCCATTCGCACCAAAGGAGCACCACCACGTGTACCTTTAGAACCCCAGGCGGAACTAACCAGATTGACTAGATCTACTTATGTATCCGGGTTCGGCTGAAAGTCAGATTAAACAAAAGAGAGAGTCTAGGTACCATCTACTTTAGTAGGGCCTAGTTCACTGACCTTTAGCCGTGTTTAATGGGAGTGGTTCTAAGTATCAGCTGACTCTTTTATTACAAAGTACCGACCCGTAATTACGATTTATTACCGAAAAGTCACTAAGGAAAAATTTGGCAACGATTTTTCTTTTTTTTTTAACTAATTTTTCATTTCAAAAAAGCGCCTTTCTTAATTTGAATTAACATTTCTTCGTGTAAAAAAGATTTACAACCAACTTAAGCTTCTAGTAGATCTATTTTTACTTAGTAAAGAAAAGTGCCAAGCTATGTTTTTCCTTCCTTAACCTATTAAGGAGAGGTTCCTAGTCGAATCAAACTCTTCGTAAATGGGAGGAGATTAAGGGAGGAGTGGAACCAGCGCATCTGTTTTAGATAGGAGGCCTCTAAAACCGCAGAGGCCTTACGTTGGGTGTATAATGGCACTGTTTATCACCGTGCCAGTAAATAGAGCTAACTTTCGGTGATCTTTTTTGCTCTTCGGGGGGGTTAGATAAGAAAAACGACCGAGTCCAAAATTGGCACGCTGTTGGATTATCGTCCACTACAAATATCACTTAATGTCGTGTTCGGATGCTGCCGCTCGAAGATAATTGCCTATTCGAGTGGAAAAAACCTCTAAAAAAAAAATACAATTTTTCCTGGTTATATTATTAATATCTACTGTATTAAATACGATAAACAAAATTCACCAGGAAATTAATATAGAATGATAAATAAAAATGGTGTAGGCCTACATCAAAATACGAAATGGTAAAATAAATTATATGTTTAAAAAAAATATATATATATATCGAGTCATTAGGTTGACAACATTAAAAATTCTCGGCGTGGAAATTATAAACAGCAACCATTAAAGAATACCACGTGGATGGAGATAAGTGAAACTGCCACCAAAATCGTTTAACCATAAAGTTAATAGGTGCTATTTTCTTGACTTGTAAGCTTGATTATTTGGGAGGGGTGGTAGATGGTTTGGAGGATTAGAGCGGCTCCAGTCATACTATTGTTTGGTAAAGGTATATGATAGGGTTAATGGAGGAACCGCCCAAATGGTTCTTTTTAAAAAGAGGACCTGTTTTCGTGCATTTACACAATTACTTGTTAGTCGCTAAAGAGTAACCTCAAAAAAAGATTATTTAAGGATTTTGGGTGAAGCCAGTAATTTGAAAATAAATCCAGAAAATTTAGAACTTGTGGATTTTCTAGGGTAAAAGGAAAACTATTTTTATTTTATATTGATACCTAGGATCAAGTTAACTTTATTTCCAGGTAACTGGATCTTCTCTTATATAAAAATCATCAATTGGATCGAAATTGGAGATTCTCGAACATTTCTTTGAAACTTGTTGCTATAAATCAAATCATGTAGAGTAGTAAATTTTATTTTATTTTTCTATATTTATATATAAATTAATCATAAAAAAAGTTATAAATAAAATTACGCAGAAATGTTATTTCTTGAAGCCCTAATTGAAAATAATGGTTTGGCATCACAATCTAGACGTAGTATCTCGCTTTATTCATGATTATACTAGTAATTTGTTAGGTTTGTTAACTTCCAGAGAGTGAATTATATTTTTAGCCCACTAACACACATGAAAAAAGAAAGGAAATGCGGGTCGCAACTTCATTATCTGCTGTGTTAAAGATACTCCATTCGTTTCGAGGACTGCGACCTTCTAATTATAGTCAACACATGTTGACATCTCGTAACATACACCCGGACTTGTATTATTTACACCTACAGAAACCGAGGCGTGGTTTTTAGGGGCCAACCTGCAAGAAAAAAAAAAAAAAACATGTGGGCCGCAAAGGACAGATTCTCCGATGCACCTCTCCCTTATACTAATTTTATTATTATTATTATTTAAATGATAAACCTGTAAAGACAATGATGTAAGCACCGACAGATAAATAATGTATCTATTTATAGATGATATACGTTGATGAAGATGTTGGATCTAACCCTGTAGTGTTTATCCGGCACATTAATCACGTGACTGGCAATATTCCTTATCAATTTATAAGAAATATTGTCGGTTGAAGCGGCGATAGGCTGGCTTTCTGCCACAGAACGGGCGGGTTCAGTGTCCAGGATGCACTAATCTCTGCTCCTATCCAGACGTGGAGTGCTTACGTCTGAATAGATGGTCGGTTACCATAGTAACGTCGCTACCTAATCAGCTTTGCCAGTTGCCAAGGGTTCTAATGACCTATTTGCATGGAAGTCTTCCCTCTTTTTTTTTCTTCTCAATTTTAAATCTTTTGTATGAAATCCATTCTGGGTTTTGCCGTATAAGACGAAAGAGAGCTTCGGAACTGACGCCAATTAGGGTGTTGCCCGAGTAACGCTAGCATTTAGACTTAGAAGAAAATAACAATTAATGATAACTAAGTTCTGTCTAGCTCTAGACTTATATATACAAGCTTTTTCATATGTTAATACATTATTTTTTTTTTTTTTTTTAAGCATCAAAATTCATCCTTGTGCTCGTGCATTAATGTGGTATTGTCGCCAACTCGCGACAGATCGTTAGACGGAATGGGACGTGACATTGCACCCGTCATGGACGGTTTTCAGATTAGACATTCCAACACGTCCCCTTTAGATAAATTAAAAAAATAAATAAATAAATAAGAAAAGAAACAAAGCTTCTACGCTAATAATATAATGATAGGTGAGAGACAGATGCTCTCTTGTTTGTATAAAAAAGACGAATTGTTAGTTAATGCTAATATTACGTCACGAAGAAAGTGTCCAATGTAACGTGGCTGAACGGGAGCCAAGTGTAGACTGTCACGTAATATTCGTGAGAACTGACAGAAGTAATCGATCGCCTTAGATGACCAATTAAAATAGAAATGACGTCTCACCTGTTAATTAGATAAGGGCAGGTGACAGAAATGCTAATTGTCAGTTTTCCTTTGGGGATGGATGATATCATCTGGATCTTTTTCCTCCCTCTTTCTAACTCTTCTCAATCGAAAAATACACCTGAGAATAAAGATGGAAACAATTGTAATGCAGGTGCACCCAAATGGCTCACTATCTCCACGCTTACAGGTTGCAATTCGTGTACAATTTAATAATTCAGTATTGTGTGTATACAAATTCGATTAGAATATCGTGCAGGTGGCCATATTCTTTCACACTCGTTTATTTTGTACGCTAAACGAATACGAAAATAATTTACAGAAACTATAACTTTTGTGAATATTTTAATATTTAATTTTTTTTTTTAAATATAATTTTAAAGTCCCTAATACTTGTTAATCCGGAGTCTCCAACTATCGACTGTCCTAGATTCAATAACCTTGTAAGTCTCTCTCCCTTAGTAACTATAGGTTTTCATATACAAATTGTACCTTTAACTACAGTTAAAACTAATATAAAAAATTGCTTTTTGCTAACTTCTATGTCGATTTTTGAATTAGTAAATCATATTATATACCAGTCGACCCCCTATAACACTGTTGATTATTCCGTTTTATATGAATTCCATGTTATACGAGTCACTTAGATTTTACAAATACGTGTGCCCGGCTGTGAACGGCTCACGTATTTGTAAAATCTAAGTGACTCGTACAACATGGAATTCATATAAAACGGAAAAATCAACAGTGTTATAGGGAGGGTCGAATGGTACATGTATTTAATCACTGTTATTTATTTTAATTATAATAAGCAATATTCGATTAATTAAGTGTTGTAAACCATCATAAACACATGAAAAAAATAGAAAAAAATATATAAATTTTATTGAATACCCTTAAGGCATTAATAATGCATCGCTCTTTTTGGAAACGTTTTTTTTTTTTTTTAATTTTATCCGAATTTATATCAATAAAGTGACACGTGGAGTATTTTTTCCCCTGGATTTCGCCTCAATAATTCAGTTTAACATTTGGTTCTTTAGGAGAATTTTATGGAAGGGAAGAGAGTGATATATAATAATCTACAGCTAACAAAATTAAGACGGGACTTAATAATTACCAAAATATCGGTGAATTTAATGAATGACAATTCGTGTTCGTAGCTTGGAGTTTTGAAAAGATGTAATTAAAACAGCACGCGTCACTTCCGTACCCTGGGATATCAAGTGACTGGTTAACTAGGAGTCATGCGGTGTACATAATGGGTGACAAGAATCCACTTTAAAAACAGCGGGCTTCTATTGTAGCTCCAAGCATTCCCCCATTCTCTTTTCTTATTTTTTACTTTTGAATATAGTAGAATGCTATGTTTACTTAAAAGAAAACTCTTTTTTTTTAATGCTATTAAAAGTTAACTACTTTACTCTTTTTTCCTCCAACACAATGTCGTGTAAGAGATTAAAAAATAAAATTTAAGTTCTGTTTAATCATTAAATTATTTAAATAAATCGATATATTAAAAGAAAAATACGCTTTAAACTTTATTTTTATAATTATATTTATGTGACGTGACGAAATAAAAAAAAAAAAGTTTCGTAAAATAAACCCGTACACGAACCCGAATCATTAACTATCTATCCTGTCGCCATCTCGTGGCTATAAACGGAATTATAATTAATTCGCTTTGAAATTACTACGACAAAACGTTTATTAATTATTGCTTAATGTAACTTTCTAGTAAATATTTTAACACAGTTTAAAGGGGAAATGTACTGTACACAATACAAAATAATAAATCAATAAATTCAATAACAGATGGCGCCACAAGCAAGACATTCTGTCAAACAGAACAATACTTTGCAGTGTTGTAGAATTACACAGAAGTTATGAATTTTTACACGTGACTTTTATGCAAATAAAAGTTTTATCAATGTCCGTGATTATCGAAACTCTTAAAAATATACAGCAATTTCTCTTTTAAATATTAATTACGGTACCGCAGGCGGTATTTTAGTGTTGAATTTTTATGCATTACGGTACGATTCTCCGGTTCTTAAAGAAGATTACAAATAAACTACGGTCGAGAACACTTCGTATTAATTTCGACTTTGATTTATAATCGAGTTTCATTATATTTTTAATGATAAATGTAACCTAATCGAATAAGATTGCCCTAATTAAGACTACGCGGCATTACGAAGAATATTCTATAGTCTCTTTGAATATCTTTCGATCCTTTAAAGCTCGAATGTATAAACAACGAATTTTCCTCATTTAATGCTTCACCTGTTTAATGAATTCAAGTTGCAACTTAAAGATTATAAGCCCTATATTTGTTTATTTTATTGCGCGCGGATCTGTATAACACTCAAACTAGAGGGATTATTATTATTATTCCAGCTTTAGGTATATCGAATTTAAATACTTTTGAGATTTGTTGTTAAATTTTTTCTTTAAATCTATGTTTTTAAGGCTTTTTTTTTTATTGGCATTTCCCTTTTAGAGTAGGCTGCAAGGGGTCCAAAATGGATGCCTTTGTTCTCCGTAAAAAATCTTACGCTAAATTAAATATTAGAGAAGTTTGCGGCCGAAGTTTTCATCTTTAAAACGTGAACGTCGAACGTCGAGCGCCATTATCTTGTAAGCGGCTCTTGACGTTCGACGTTCACGTTGAAAACTTCGGCCGCAACCTCTCTATTATACAAAATTCTCTTAAGTATTTAATTAATAGGAATGAGTATTTGATTATTTAGTAATTTTGTTAATTCTTTACACGTTGTGAGAGAAATAAAAGATAAAATTCAATTTTTTTTTTATGTAAAACGTCTCAAAACTATTCCTGATTTTTATTTAAAAAAATGAAAAATATTCTACGAAAGGTAAAAAAATTAGTTAAAATTTCCGAAGTTTTTTAACCTTTTTTTTTGTTTTTTAACTTGAAAACTGAATTTCACTTTTTTTTTTCTTTCTTTCAAAGTTCTTGCAAGAAAGATTTATAACTTGGTAGGTGCATGACATAAAAAAGTAGTGTCATAGTGACAAATAGTAATTGATAATACCAAGAATTTCAAGTATGGATACAAAATATCATTTTGACGAAATAAAAATGTGCAAAAAATAAGGAAAAAAAAAAAAAGCTTACTCGATAAAGAAATGCTTGTATCATCACTTCAATTTTTACTGTAGAGATCTTTCCCTCCCCCGTATAAAGCAAAAAAAAAAAAGTAATTCTAAGTTATATTTTTACAGATTAAATCCCTTAATTATTGAACTGGTCGATAAAATATATAATTAAAATACAATTTTACTTACTTATATTTTCGTCTAGAATGAAGGCTTGACAGCTTCAGAAATTCGATTTCCTGCCACCAGAGGACGCCGCTAGTTCACCATTCTGCCAAGTAAGATAATTTAAACGTCAATAATACAATACTGTATTATAAGAAAAGGGTTAAAAAATAAATTAATTCCTAATATTCCTAATAGCGTCAGTNTATAAAAATATAAAATGATATTTAAATTAAATTATGACGTACGATAGGAATATAAACATATATTCCTATCGTGTGTTTATATATAAATATACAATAGGATGTTGCACGAGTTTACGCTTTCTGTAGAATATTTTGTAATAAATTTATAATTTTCGTATATTTTCTAAGAATTGAATGTATATATTTGTTTATTCGGTGCATTTATATATTATTTATTAAAGAAATAATATGTTTATATGTACATACTGTATATATATTAATGTACGAAAATGTGTTGTTTTGTTTTATCATCGCAAGTTGGCGCCACTAGAAAGTGTAATTAAATTTTTTTTTTTTTTAAATATTTTTAAATATTTTAAAATAAGAAAAAAGTAAAAAATATAATATACGTGAGAAATTAAAATAGAAATAAAATCGTTCTAATGTAAAAAATTTATAATTGTCTTTCCGAACATTTGTAATTTTCAACTGTTGTAGATTAAACACTGTTCTATTGTAAGTATTTATTTTTTAAAATTGTTTACTGGACTATTTTTCTTTTCTGTTTTAGGAAAGACAATTCAAAATTTCATAAAACATTTCAAAATTATACGTTTGCATACTTTAAATTCACGAGATTTTTCTACTTTTTCTCTTTCCTCGCTTTTTCTAAACAACAGAATACCTGTCGCCTGCTGAATTTTAAACTAGAATATTGTTATTGCTTAAGTTTTAGAAAGTATATTTTATATAAAATATTAATTTAAACACGTTGCAACTTATTCCGTAACGGCAAATACAGGGCTTCAAACTTTTGTAAAATAAATAAATAAAACAAAAACCTTCCATGCTAAACACTAGAAAGTAAATAAATAAATAAACGTATAATTTATAAATCGAGTAAAGTATTTGAGAAAGTGCAGATATAAAGTGTAAACGTATGCTTAGATTGGCCTATTAGTCTGTGTTATGGAGTGGCAAAGTTGTTTAATTGAGATGCATAGAGGAGATTGTCTAGAGATTTAGTCTCGTGTCTTAGTTATTTATCAAACTTCATTTATGCTGGCATTCAATTAAGCTTTATCCTCTTTTCGTTGTGATTTGATCTACTTGATTTGGAACAGTTTCTCTTTGGAGAACTTCCTCTTAGTGTTCCAGAATTCTGAATCTCTTACTTTCTTCATCGCTCTTTTACGATATGAGAAGAGGATCATGATTATATCTTTAGTGACTTCTCGCATGACTAGGCGGGTATAACCAATATTCCTTGTAAATTTCCTATTTGACACTTGATCGTGTAGAATATAGCCTATGAACTTCTTACTTTTTCATGCGTGAAATGTATTTTAACTCGTGAAAAAGTTGTTATAATTTATACGTTTATATTTATAATAATAATAGAGAGATTGCGGCCGAAGTTTTTATCTTTAAAACGTGAACGTCGAACGTCTGAAGCGTGAACGTCGAACGTNCACGTTCGACGTTCACGCTTCAGACGTTCGACGTTCACGCTTCAGACGTTCGACGTTCACGCTTCAGACGTTCGACGTTCACGCTTCAGACGTTCGACGTTTACGTTCGACGTTCACGTTTTACAGATGAAAACTTCGGCCGCAACCTCTCCAATGTTATTGTTTTTTTTAAATATTATATTAACTTTTTTTACGTATGACGTTACATTTTTGTGTATAATAATTCTTTAAAAGCTATTTAGCAAGTTATATAATGATAATTTATTTAAAGCTGAGCATATAATAAAAATAATTTCAATTTTTTATTATTAAACAGAGCCATAACATAAATTTAAGGTACTAAATCTTTTCCTGAAATATTTAAGATATTATTAAACTTAATATTTTAATATTTGTATGAATTTTTATTATATAAAATAAATTTATAGTTTAAACGTGAAATATTCTACACGTTTTCTAACCAATTACTAACCGACTAAAGAACGATGAAATTATTATTTATTAGATTTATAATTAGAAATATTATATATTTATTTCGATAATAGAATAAATTCTACAGATTTCATGAAAATTAAATTAAACATACATAACACACTACATGTAATTGTAATTAAGAATACAGCATAAGTACACCTTACGTAAATTCGAATACTTTAAAACGGTGAAGACTTGAAGGATTTGGACATAGTCCAATAAATTTCCATGCTGTAGATTAGTGACTAAACTAAATGGATCATGTTTGATTGCTGAGTCATGGAAATTTGTTATGTCTAACTCCATTGTTTTAAAGTGTTCGAACTTACGTAAGGCATATTTAGGCACGAGGGCTTAACTTGATTAACTACAGTAGGGCTTTCAAGGGCTACAGAAGCTACAGAAGCCCATTGACACCCTAATTATTATTTGTTCGAACTTCAAAACGTATTTATGTTGGCACAATATAGTTTTTGGACCACTCGTAATATAATGGTGTTGCTCGTGTGAATAAAAGGTACTGTACTTATTGATTACTCAAAAAATTTTCAGTTTTGATTTAGCCTCCCCCCTTTGGGTTTATTTGGATCCGTTACTAGTGGCTCTAGCAAATTGTGGGATGACCTTACTGGGGTTTTGACCCCAGTAAGGTCATCCCACAATTCCCACAAAGGTTACGGAATATCCCACATGAATCTTGTATTCTTTTAAGTCTAAATATTTAGACTTAAAAGTAAATCAGAAGGAAATGAATGAATTATAGTTCAAACATTTGTTTCAGTTGCATATTGAATAAATTGTCTACTTTTATTTCGTCTAGACTCTATAGCATCTCAATGTTTTAACATCTGTGTAAATCAGTCTCGACTCTAGACTAACGGCCGTAGTATATTGCTATCACGAATAGAAATAATATTCGCATCACTTAATAAAGACTACTTTAATTAATCGTCTTTAATTAAAATTACAGTTATTATTTACTGTATAAATTAATTGTTTTAAATATAATATTGATTATTACCGTCTTTAAATCATAATTGAGGAACTTGAATACGTGTGAAATGGGCTAAATGTAAGTTATTACTTTCCTGGCTGTTATAGAATATAATATAGAGAAAATAGGGGTGATGGTTAAAATTTTGATCCCTTTCCCCTCGGATTTTTATTTTATTTTTGGCATTTCTCGACGTTTTGACTTTCCACAAGTCCAAATATATATATATATATATATAAACCTTTGTGCATGTATTTGTATTTGTATGTTTGTCTGTTTCTGTGTTTGTATTCCTTTGTTTGTGAAGGTATGTGTGTCGTCATCTATTTTGCATTATATCTCAGGACTGAATAAATCAAAAATTTTGAAATTTGTCAGGGTTATGAGTCATTAATGCTATTAAATTTTGGCGATTAAAGGTCAAGGGAAAAGGGTATAGAAGGGGTCACATATCGCATCTCAAGTAGAGTCAGTCTGTTTTAAGTTATATTTTATATTGTCAATGTATTCTTTTAAGGCCATACAAATAAGTAATAACATCTCTAGTAATTCTCTTTCTTATAGCCTATTAATCTATTATAAGATTTTTTTAAATTTAAATTAAATTTAAATTAAAAATTAACAAACAAATTATATATAAAATTTAATTTTTTAATGCAAATTTAAGTCTCATATAGAAGAAATATGTATCATCTGTATAAAGCCTTTAAGTTTTAAGTCTATATAATTTTTATTATTACTATTATTACAGACAAATTGAAGGGATCAATAATAAATTTAATTAATCAAAAAGGAGTTCTAAATTTTTAGATGTTTACTAAACTTGGTTTACAATATTGTAAACAGTAGAATTATCAGATTATATTTTACATTTATCTTCATTTGATTCATTTCCAAACTGTTCGTTCCTTCTCCTGTTATATTTATTTGATAATAGACAAAGTTTCCTGTCCATAAATTTATCACAGAGTTTATTAACTATATTTAAAATATTTCACTCCCAAACTAAAGTATTAATGTATTCATTTATGTAATTGTTTTCAATATAATTCCTATAATAAAGAGGATTATATTTAAAAAATTTTTTTAACTAAATAATTTAGAAATGTTATGAAAAATATAAGCTGTAATGTCATTAATTTTAACTTTAATGTAGTAAAAAAAACTATATCTTCCCTCTTCCCTATCATATTTTAGAAAAATTCATTTAAAGAAAACTTCTTCAATCATTAAATATTAATGATTTTTATGGATTTTTTTTGGTAACAAAACAACATTTTAAATTAATAATGAAATTCTGTAAATCCAATTATTCATTAAAAATATTTATATTAAAAAAAAGTCAATAATTTCATTAGAAAAAAAAAACATAATAATAAAATCTTATTTAGAAAGCTTAATAATGTTTATTATATTATCTTATACAATTTTATTATTAATAATTATAATTGTTTAGTCATTTTGATTTTTATCCATTAAATTAAAAGAGAATTTGATCTTCAAATGAAAGCCATGAATATTGTATTATAGAATAATAAATTACATATAAAATTTATTATTTTTATAGTCAAACCTGTTAACAACGGCCACTGATAGGAATATAAAAAGTGGTCGTTGTTTAAAGGTTTATCTTGTATGTACAAGTCGACCCCCTATAACACAGTTGATAATTACGTTTTATATGAATTCCATGTTGTACGAGTCACTTAGATTTTACAACGCTAGCATTTAGACT